TTTTAAAGATTGATTAATTGATTAAATAAAGAAAATATGCATTTTTAAAAATCTTTTTCTTTACAACATTTATCTTTACAACTATAGAAAACCATTCTTTCAAAAGACATAATGATTGGGTATGAATTTAAAGTAATAATAGTTTTTGAAAAAACCTATGACATCCTAGGAGGATGGAATTACCTTAACATTTAATTCATATGAAATATGGTCTCCCCACCCCACCCCGCCCCACCCCCTCAAATTGCGATCTGTATATAATTAAAAGAAGCTGAAGATAGAATGGCTGAAATCACTTAAACCCAAATTTAAAACAGTTTAGTCGGATTCACATGACTTGATAGACAAATGAAATTTACTGTCCCTGCAGTAAAAAATATGCTTGCTTTAGCTTCAAAATTTCTTTCGCATGTCTTGTCGCTCGTGCTCCCTTTTACTGTGAATAGTTAATAGCTCACTAGGTATTTTTTGGAACAAAATTTATTTTCAATCTGCCTAATTCTGGGTTTTTATTTCAAATACCGGAGTAATAATAAGTATGTCGATACCCAGTGTTACTTCAAGAACATTTAAAACTATTATACATATGATACATGTACTTAAGTGAGACAGGCACTTAATTATATAATATAATAATTAAAATATTATTTTTAGTCTATAGTATAATAATTTCAGCAATTTTGCACTTATGCTTCTGGACTTAAAAAATATTAATCCGTATAAAAAAAAAATACCCAATAGACTAATTATCATGTTAATCTTTCGTATAAAAGATAAATTCCTACCTTCCTCATGTCCCGATAATGTAGCGGATGTACTGTCCATAGTTGGCAATGGGGAACCTAAGCCAAGAAAATGTAATAACAAAAGTTTAACACATAAAAGGGGTTGCAAATGCAATGAATTCCTCCCAGCACTTGTTCTTTAAGTTTTGATAAACTACTCTTAATAAAATCAAAACATGCAAAATATGAAGGTATTTTAAAAATAACGTTAACATTGAATTTTTAATTTTAAAAAAATTGCCTTCAATGGTGATGGACAATCTTAAGTTTTTACTTACATTCGTTTGATATTAAGATGCACGCAAAAACTAAAACTCCAAAGATAACCTTCATTTTTGTCATCTTGGGGAAACTAAAGGACAAACGAGTAAATTTAAGGGATTGGTAAATTTTCTGTATTTACTTTTGTCACAAAGCGGGCTTGGTTATATCTGGATGTGTCAGAGAGGGTGAACAGTGAAGAAATTACAACTCCTTTGTTTACAAAATATCCGGTTAAACATTTTTCTTATCTTTACTCAGACGAATTTATGGCAGCATCAAACGTCAGAAAGATTCATGGATGTTCTCGAGAAAAAAAAACCCTGATAAACCTCATTGAAGATATTGACCGCACCAGATTTAAGTATTCGCGTAAAATGATACACACTACTGAAATAATGTACATATCATATGTACATTAATGTGTGCTTGTCTTTAGTTTACGTTCTTAATGAATACAAATCTGACTTCTCTCTTATTCGGTCTAATTCATTGACATCCCTGTAATCCCATATCGTCCAGAAAACAAGTCAAATGACGAAAAATAGTTTATTATTATAGCCACACAGCATGCAAGTCAAGTTTACAAGATATTTTACTGTTTATGGATTTACTTCTCCGCATAACGCATCCATCTAAATAGTAAATGAATTTTTAAAGCAGTTACATAAAATCACGTTTTCAATAGGATCAGTACTAAAGTATATTTTATCACTAAAAGTTTCATGAAATTTAATTCGAAGTTGTGCAGTTTTCAGTGTAATTGAAGATTTTACAAGTCCTTACATCCAAGGATACTTTGTGGCTAGTTTGGTTGATACTGGACCAATGTTTCTGGAGAAGATGGGACAAATTTTTATCAGAAATGGCTAAGTTGAGCCACCGGTTAAAGTGAAATTAGCTGCAGATCTGTAGCTCTCTGATAAAATAATTGACAGACCGGAGAGCTACAGTGCCACTTATTGAAAAAAAAACCTGTATATTTATTGCGCACAAAAAAGTGCGCTGTTTATCGATTTATTTCTCCATATTTTTAAAACTATAATCTCAAAATATTACTAACCGTGCATTCCTAACATAATTATTCACTGTTTCCACAACAAAACGTACCTTATATTGTAGTTTATAGCCCTCCTGGCCCTTAAACCGAGATCATCGAAAATTTCGTCTGTTTATATTTCCATTTTGGTTTGTAAAATAATTCGGCCCAACGCGCTTCGTGTAGATGTCAACTACGAAAGAAATTGATAGAAGAGTACGGAATTTTTTGAAATCTAATTTTTTTGCAATTTAGGTCAGAATTCGGAAGAATTATTCTATAAACAAGCGCAACTTTTTGTGCGCAGTAAATATACATTTTTTTTTTCAATGGGTGGCACTGTAGCTCTCCGGTCTGTCAAATTATTTTTTCGGAGAGCTACAGATATGCGGCTAAAGTGAAATATAAAAAATGCAGTTTTTTAATTAAGTGAAACACAATCGTTCAACAAAACTTAAAATCTTTATTGTTTACTTTTGTTGAAGTCCAAGTAAAACGCAAAGGGAATATGAGAAGCGAGATAACACCAAAAAATCACTTGTTTTAATTTGCTATGTCTTAGTCTATATTTTTCATGTAGAAAAATATTTAGATGTCAGTATGAGAAGCGATATTATAATAAACACAGTCTATTGATCGTTGGGTTAATTTGCAATTTCTAGGTCTATATTTTTTTCCATAGAGAACGAACATAAATGTTGTGTTTTACCGGGAACTCGAGCTACAGCTATAAAACTTTGGATTTAAAATATACTTAATTTCAATCTGGAATTTTGGTCTGTTTAAATATTTAGCCTATACAGATAAAATTACAATGTTCATTTTTGAAGAGCTCTTACACATCAGAGTAATTTTTATAATGACGATTCTCACATTAATTAACACAAATAAATAATCCTACATAGAAAGACACGTTTGTCGGATTTTAATTACACTGTAAAATCCCTTGTTTTACACAAAGATTTACAATTTTTTTTAGAAATAAAACTGATAATCAAAACGCGAAGACCAAAAATGCTCCAAATTAAGTATCTTAATATACTCTACTTGTTTGCCAAGTTATATTAAAATCAGAGCAAAACTGTAGGAGAATTGGTGTTTTGAAAGTATTTCAAAGACATATCTATTTCTAGTTATCATGGCAACACCGATCATTGAAATCATTAGTGGCTCTCCACTGGCAATTGGCGTCTCCATTTGAGTGAAAATTCTCGAGAGGGACGATAAACAACATACAATCAATAAATTAATTTCAAACGGAGAAATACTGCGAGAAAAACATTTTTCAAATTCAGATATTTTTGCAATGAAGAATATGGAGATAAGGAACAGTATACAAAATCAAAGTCCACAAAACAATACAAAATAGGAGCAGGGCAAACATGGACATCAAAAACATCAGATTTGGATCAGGTACCATGGAGGACATTTTCAACTTTAATCCTGATTTTCTGAATAAGGGAATCGGGTGCTTTACGTCTTGTATTTATGAATGTTTTAGACAAAGTCACCAGTTGCCAAATACATGTATTAAACCGCAGACTTCAATGATGATTCCACCATTGTTTCTTCATCCATAGAATAAACTTCATGCTTGTGGTTTCAACTTGGGATAAATCGTAGTAAAGGGTGATCTTCATAATCGATTTTAGATTCCAAAATTTTCTTTCTGAGTATTGAAGCCACTGAATTAGATGCACGTAATTCTTCTGATAAACGCACAGCAAAGCTGTGTTGTAGGAATTCTTCTCTCATAGCTGGTCTTGTAAGTTCTAGCGCCATTTTGATATCACATGCTGCAAAGACTGACCATGGACCTTTGGAGATCTCAAAGAATACATGGAATAAAGCAATGCCAATCAGTTCGTGCTTCAACTCTACTGTGTACTCATCTTCGAGTGTAAATGGAGTTAGTTCTTTCAGATAACTGTCAATAGTATTTTTGTCAAGATAAGCTCTAATTGCACCAGCCACCGAGTCATCAATGTCTTTGTTTTTGTTATAAACCATTACACACATGATGAACACGAGCGAGAAAAAAGCATCCGAATCCCTATAAAACAACTTTTTAAAGTGATCAATTAGTTGTTCTAATGGTTGATTGCAAATTGCTTTGCGTTCCATCTCACTTGGTAGTGTTGTAATCATTAACGTCTGAAAAGGTTTTCCAATAGAATCGGAACTATATTCAAGAATATCCAGCACGTCCTTGTATGTCGTACGTTTTTGGTTACGATGACTCCTCTCTTGCTGTAATTGATAGATGTGAAGTATTTCCGATTTTGAAAGATTGTCTAATTCTATAATCCTACTTTTATCTTGGAAGGCACTGCCACACCCGATGCTTTTAATTTCATCCAGAACATGAACATGGATACCAAGAAGTATTTTAAGTTTATTTTTATCTTGATTTAACAATGTACGAATAACATATTCAAAATCTCTGAATACTTGTTTGGAAAACACCTGGCATCCGAAAGTTCCGAATAAATTATCGCAAAATAGAACTGTTTTCCTTGCTGTAAGCACAGCATCAACACGTGATTTTTCTACAAAATTGAAATTGTCACAACATTCAATCTGCCATCCTTCTTTTCTGTACTTTTTAGATACATATTCCAAAGCGGTTGTCTTTCCACACCCAATAGATCCTACACAGATTGCGATTCCTTTTGTTTCGAGATGTTTTAAAATCTCTACAATAGTTTTGGTTACGACAGTACCGTCATCTTCTACGCAATCGGGTTTGATTTTAACATCTGAAATAAATATGAAATTGCCTTGAATAGATCCTGCTTAAGATATATCTTTCAAAATGATTAAAAAGAAATATTGGAACTGAAAACGTTGAGAAAATAACGGCTTTTCAAAAATATCTTAGTCTACTCTAATGGAAATTAAGTTTATCTAGCAATTTTTTTATACTACGAACCGTGTATCACATATGAATTACATGTTAACAAAAATGGTAATGTTTTTTTTTAACTATATAAAGTCGTTCAATTTTTAATTGAAATGCATTCAATGAAATCTTATAGTTCAACTCCTAAAAGTACGTTTCTGCACTGATGAAATAAGAGGTCAAACAGTGTCAGAGAAAATTTAGATACTTACAATTGATTTTTTGCTCACGGCTAAAATCAAGGTCCATTTCAAATTCAATTTCCTCGTATTGCGAAAGCAATCTTTCTTTCAGCATTTTCATCTCCTTTGGATAGCACCTTTTGGTATCCACGTATTCATTAATAAAGCTTCTAATTCTTTCAATATCAGCTCCTAGAGACTCATCATCGTCATCTGGCTTGTAGTCCCAGCCACGACCAGGAGTCGGAATGTCGCAAAAATTCGTCAGCACCATATAAATTATATTCAGACTAGACTTTGAAAGCTCACTTAAAGTTGATTTCATCAATTTATTTACCGTGTTTTCTTCAAAGTTTTGTTTTATGGACTCAGAATGAAGTAGCAGTTTATTTCTGAGGCTTGTTTCATCGCATAAAGCGACAAGACGACATCGTAGATAGTTCGCCAATGAAGTCATACATTTAAGTGCCTCTGCTGGGTCTTTATCTACAAACACAGACAAGGCAAGACATGAAATGGCATTAAATGAAGACAACAATACTGAAATAGAAAGAACTATGCCCAAAATTAAAAAAAAGCATGTTACTTCAAGGGTCAGGTCAAAGACAATATAAAGATGACTCGTGCATTTGTTTTTTATACAAATATTCTGATCACAAGCACTTATTCCAATTAATAAGTACATGTATATACGACATTTCCTACTATTTTTATCACAATGGTCCTATCTCAATTTCGAACACCACACTTCAAGCCAATATTTTGTCAATGAATTTAAGTAATCAGTTTCTAGCTACATGTATATAGTTTGATGGGATTGCAAATGTCATCAACGAGAGTTGGAAATGTGGGATAATTTGCATAATCAACAATTATAGTTTGAAACGTTTAATATATTGTATAACGGGCGAATTATACCACTTTTCAAATAATTGATGTTCCTGGCATACACAACAAACTAGACAGTAATTCTTTATATTTCCTTTTCATTGTGAAATAAATTTATAAATTCAGATTGAAAGAAATGTCTCGAACGTCAATTTCAATAATTATTGGTCACTGACGTCAGACTCAAGACAAGACGAGCGAGATTTACATGCATATTAGACCTCCCCAGCTCTTGAACTTTGTCTTGGCTCAGCGAAATTAAAATTCCAGTAGAATTATCAATAAATATTTCCATTTCTAATATTTTTCTCTGTGATAACTCTGACGCTAAGGAGGCCAAATATGCATGTCAATCTCTTGCGACTGCCTTTGTGTTTGACGTAAGTAAACGAGGACTATTAAAATTGGCATGGGAGTCCTCGTGTAATTTAAATCTATATCTACGTTTTTAAAATATATAACTACAATTTTATTTTACAATGAAATGGAAATATAAGAAATGACTGTCTAGTTCGCAAAGTATGCCAGGGACATCATCGATAGTGGGAAACATGGCATAATTTATGCAAAACGGGCTTCCCACTATCGTTGATGCCCTGGCATACTATACTATCTAGACAGTGATTCCTTAAATCAACTCAACTAACTTTCAAAGAGTAATCACAAAGGGAACAAATAAAAATGGAAATAATATTCATTAATCTGCTTTAACATGATATAGTTCGCTTCTAAATACATAATAATGAAAAAGTAGTGATAATATCAAGGGTACATTCAGGTTTTCTCACAAGTGGAAATTTCAGGCGAAGTATAAAATGAGAAATATCTACCTGCATCTTTTTTCGGATCCAGGAATGATAGTTTTTCAGAGGACTTTGAATGTTCTATACAGTACAAAAATATATAATGTATAATTGATGTAAAACGTGCCTATTAGAAAAGTGAGCAACATCTAGTTTGAAATAATTGATTTTCAAATTGATAACATTAGCATACCTGTCTTTCTTCTCTTCTTTTGAACCCAGAATAAAATGAGAATTAAAAGTATTAACACATATACAAGTAATGTCACAATAACAACTGTGACTGCATTCTGTTCGTTGGATGTAGAATCATCTATAGTACTACAAAAAATAAAGACATTTTGTCATTGTCTTAGAAAAAACAATCAAGCATTTTTAAAACAAATCCATTTATAAAACTCTTTTCATGATTGAAACTGGTATTATAATTCTTTATTGAAAATTTAAAATTTATAAATGATCAATATATTTTAATTGAATTATTATTTTTACAACTTAAACATACACTTTAGGGGGGGAATAATGTTAAAGATAAATAGATGTATTTTATTGAAAAAAAACTTACCTGTTTCTATTTGCATGCAAAGTGCTTAATGCCTTATAAGGAGTCGTCGATTGAACCCTAAAAAGTAAATTTACATATAAGTTGTATCGAGGCAGTAATCTAGAAAATGTCTTTCTTTCAACCATTAACAAAATATTTTTTATAATATATTACGGTATGGTTGCGCCTTATAATTTGTCAGGTAGTTAATATATTACCTGTAAAAGTTTCCGAAGCATGCCTGATCTGTAAAAAAAATAATTACTCGTTAAATACACTGTAAAGGCAAGACTTGGTCTTACTGTATACATCGGAAAGGTCAATTAGTTAAAGATTCCTTAGCCACAGTTAATTGTCACACGATCAATGTTATGATATTTGGCACACAGAAAACATAACTCCAGATTATTTTTTTCAAAAAAGACAATACACTTAAACATACCGTATATACTTACATTTATAAATGTCTGATGCTCTGTATGCTGTTGTTGGGCAGCCGGGAGACGCATAGCATGAGATGAAGTTTAAATTATATGTATCAGCATCTAACACCGCACATTTACCTATAAAACCGAGATATTAAAGTTTTTACCCAACATTCTTAATGAATTAATTCAGTTTACCATCGGATGTAAATCCAACAGAAATGTTTTGTTCCCTCTCTTTTGCCCAACCAAGTCTGAAAAATTACCTCTATAAAAATAAAGCACACATATGTAATTTCGCCATACTTAAGAATAAGAGTTTTACAGATTCTTCCTATGTACAGTGTATTTCCATGTAAAGATTTGATGGCCAATCATGGCCCCACCTTACACCCAGGGGTCATGATATGAACAAACTTGAATTAACTCTAACTGAGGATGGTACCATATAAATATCACCATTCATATAGCTTTGCTGATCTTCAGAAAAAAGATTTATTAAAGATTTTTCCTAAATATTCCTATGTAAAACTTTTGATCAGAAGATTTGAATAAACTTGAAACTACACTACCTAAGGATGCTTCCACATGAGTTTCATTTTTCCTGGTCCAATAGTTCCGGAAAAGAAGAATGTTAAAAGACTTTTCCTGTATATTCCTATGTAAAACTGTGATCAGCTAGTGTGGCCCCGCCCTACCCCCGGGGGTAATGATTCGAACAAATTTAAATCTACACTACCTGAGAATGCTTCCACATGGGTGTCATATTTCCTGGCCCAATTGTTCTGAAGAAGAAGATTTTTAAAAGATGCAATTAATTTTTCATTAATCCATAATTATCTCCCCTTGGATGGGGGCTTGGCCCTTCATAACTTTTGAACGGTAAGGGCTGCATATAGGGCTTTCGTACTTCACATATCTTTCATTGGATACCAAGAACTTTAACCCTTTGACCTGGGAGTTTATCAAAAACTTTGATCTTGCATGGTCACAACTTTTGTACGGTAGATACTAGGTCTTTCACATTTCACATATGTATTCTTTATGGCAAGGCCTTTTATTGGATACCAACAACTTCGACCTTGAAGATTTCCGTACTTATGAAAAAACTAACCAGTTAACCATAACTTTTGAACGATAAAAGGCTAGGGCTTTTGTACTTCACATATGTAATCGTTGTGAGAAGAACTTTCATTGGATACCAAGAACTTTGACCCTTTGACCTTGGAGATTGACCTACTTTTTAAAGACTTTGACCTTGGTCACAACTTTTGAACGGTAGATAGTACTCATGAAAAAACTTTAACATTAACCATATCTTTTGAATGGTAAAAAGTGGGACTTTCATATTACACATATGTATACGTGTTCTTTGTGGCAAGGCCTTTTGTTGGATACAAACAACTTTGACCTTGACCTTTGAGATTTCCGTACTTATGAAAAACCTTTAACCTTGGCCATAACTTTTGAACGGTAAGGGCTAGGGCTTTCGTTCTTCACACATATAATCCCTGGGATGTAATCCTTGTGAGAAGACCTCTCACTGAATACCAAGAACTTTGACCCTTTTGACCTTTACCTTGGAGTTTGACCTACTTTTCAAAACATTTGACCTAAGTCACAACTTTTGAACGGTAGATACTAGGACTTTCATATTTCACATATGTATTTTTGTGCAAAGACCTTTGATTGGATACTTACAACTTTGACCTCTTGACCTTGGAGATTTCCCTACTTATGAAAAAACTATAACCTTGACCATAATTTTTCAATGGTAAGGGCTATGGCTTTTATACTTCACATATATAATCCCTGGGAGAAGACCTTTTATTGGATACCTAGAAATTTGACCCTTTGACCTTGGAGATTGACCTACTTTTCATTTACCTTGTCCATAACTATTGAACGGTTAGGGTTAAGGTTTTCATCCTTCACATATGTATTACTCGTAACCTTTCTTAAGAAATCAACAACTCAGGTTCTTTCACCTTGGAGTTTGACCTACCTTTCAAAAAATTATCCTTGACCATAACTTTTGAACAAGTGGTGCTATGGATTTTGTATTTCACAATCGTATTTCTTGTCTGAAAACCTTACTTTGGGTAATAATATTTTCAATTGCTTTGCATTTAACACAAGAGGCCCATGGGCCACATCGCTCACCTGAGCACTGTGGCTAGGAAAAAGCAGAATTGGTTTATACTCGAAAAGCTTAAATCCAAAAGTAGTCCCATGACCAATCATGGCTTTGCTATTCTTGAGAAGAATATTTTTAAAGAATTTTCCTATATATTTCTATGTAAATCTTTGGTCGGCCATATTGACCCTGCCCTACCCCTGGGGGTCATGATTTGAACAAACTTGAATCTAGACTACCTGAGGATACTTCCATATAAATATGATCAATTATGGCTTTGCTATTCTTGAGAAGAAGATTTTTAAAGAAATTTCCTATATATTTCTATGTAAAACTTTGGTCGGCCATTTTGGCCCCGCCTTACCCCTGGGGGTCATGATTTGAACAAACTTGAATCTACACTACCTGAGGATGCTTCCATATAAATATGATCAATTATGGCTTTGCTATTCTTGAGAAGAAGATTTTTAAAGAAATTTCCTGTACATTTCTATGTAAAACTTTGGTCGGCCATTTTGGCCCCGCCCTACCCCTAGGGGTCATGATTTGAACAAACTTGAATCTACACTACCTGAGGATGCTTCCATGTAAATATGATCAATTATGGCTTTGTTGTTCTTGAGGAGAAGGTTTTTAAAGAAATTTCCTATATATTTCTATGTAAAACTTTGGTCGGCCATTTTGGCCCTGCCCTACCCCTGGGGGTCATGATTTGAACAAACTTGAATCTACACTACCTGAGGATGCTTCCATATAAATATGATCAATTATGGCTTTGTTGTTCTTGAGGAGAAGATTTTTAAAGAAATTTCCTATATATTTCTATGTAAAACTTTGGTCGGCCATTTTGGCCCCGCCCTACCCCTGGGGGTCATGATTTGAACAAATTTGAATCTACACTACCTGAGGATGTTTCCCCATAAGTTTCATCTTTCCTGGCCCAGTGGTTCTTGAGAAGAAGATTTTTAAAACATGCTACCATATTTTCATTAATTCCCAATTATCTCCCCTTGAATGAGGGCGTGGCCCTTCATTTGAACAAACGTGAATCTCCTTCACCCAAGGATACTTTGTGGCAAGTTTGGTTGAAATTGGCCCAGTGGTTCTTGAGAAGTCGAACATGTGAAAAGTTTACAGACAGACGGACAGACAGACAGACGGACGCCGGACAAAATGTGATCAGAAAAGCTCACTTGAGCCTTCGGCTCAGGTGAGCTAAAAAGTTAAATCTTCGTTATGTTGCCATCCGGGGTCATCAGTGTTTCACGAACACATCTTGCTCCTTATATTGAGAAGAGATAGGGCTTTCATATTTGACATGTGCATTACCTGTGACAAGATATTTCCGAGCATGATATGATTTCTTACCCCTTGACCTTTACCTTCAACGATTGACCTTATTTTTAAAAAAAATCAATTTCAGTGATAATTTCTAAATAAATGATATATGATAGGGTGTTCATATTAGACACAATATGTCATAAAAAATGACATCTCACCCACAAAGACAAAAGCAGGGGACCACAATTCTTTGAATTAGCTTGTTCCTCATTTGGTTGGTCTTTGTATTTTGTCAAAATTTACCCGTATGTAAAAGAGTAAAAATGCTTCCAACTGCGCTAAAATTAACCCGTATAAAGTAGACCCTCTAGATCTGTTCCGTCAAACTTTTTTGTCCCCCGCTTTCGCAAAAGCGAGGGGACATTACCGGTAAATCTCATTCGTCTGTCCGTCCGTCACAAAAACTTTAACCTTGCCCATAATTTTTGATTTAGTGGATCTATGACTTTCACATTTCACATGTGTATTTCTTGTGACAAGACCTTTCCTTGGGTGCCATCAAATTTGATTTTGACCTTGGAGTTTGACCCACTTTTACTTAATATTTTAAACTTTTACTTTGGCCATAACTTTTGAACGGTAGATACTAGGACATTCATAATTCCTATATGTATTTTTTGTGGCAAGAGCTTGCATAGGATACCGACAACTTTGACATTTTAACCTTGACCTAGGAGATTCCCGTACTTATGAAAATACTTTTACCTTGGCCATAACTTTCGAAGGGTTAGAGCTAGGACTTTGATACTTTATATATATAATTCTTATGACAGGACCTTTTATTGATATCAAGAATCGAACTTTGCCCCTCTGACCTTGAACATGGAGTTTGACCTACTTTTTCAAATATTTAACCTTCGCCATAACTTTTGAACGGTAAGGGCTAGGGCTTTCATACTTCACATCTGTAATACTTGTGACAAGACCTTTATCAAGAAACCAACAACTTTGACTTTGGAGTTTGACCTACCTTTCAAAAACTTATTGGCTATAATTTTTGAACAGGTGGTGATAGGGCTTTCATATTTCACAATCGAATTTCTTGTGAGAAGACCCTATTTGGGTACCAGTATATTTACGAGAATTGATCCAAAAGTTCGTGGAATTTCTAAAATTTTATCGTGAATTAATGAAAGCAAACAATAGGCATATTCATAATATAGAGTCATAATGCAACAATATTGGAAAATTTCACTACTTTCCAATTACCGATAAGCTCAAATGAGCTTTCTGAAAATGGATAGTTGTAAAACCCGGGGGAAACTTCGACGTAACGTCAAGTTATATATGTCACGTCACGTTACAGAAGCATATCGCCCTAACGTCCAATTCAAAATCGTAATTCTATAAAATGCTGCCCTTTTCTCTCTTTTTTTTCCTCAAGAAAAGCCTAGGTACACTGTATCCTCTCGCATTAACTTATCTTCATTTTTCACTCATATTTCAAAATACTCCCCATCTTTCCATGAGATGTTAAAAAATTTCGGTAACAATGTCAAGAACGGTACGTCAGCTGACAACGTCCATTAACGCTTTTAATTTGTCTACTGGGACAAACACTTAAAACGGAGCCTCCAAAAGGCAGCTACACCCTTAATTAACGTCCATGAAAGTTCTATTTTTCTTAAATTTTCTTATGCCACTGGAAAACCAGTAACTAAATGCATTTTCCCCAAGCCTATGTCAATGATATACGAGTTTTAGTCGGAGTGATCCCGGGATCTTTACAAAACTTATGACTTAACCGAAATTTGATGTTGTCTTACAACTTAAAGATGATCAATATATCATTAACTAATACACTAAATATCCAGTAAAATCAGTAAAACTCTCACACTTAGATTTATAAAAGATCAAGCAATCGTAATTATGACATAATTTTTGTTTTAAATACCACATATGGCGGTTCAATTCTCATTTCACGTATTAAGATTTAAAATGATAATAAACGCGTAAATGTCTCCCCCGCATTTCCAAACAACCGTTTCTATGGCAACTGCCACAGCGTTACTGTCATAAATATTTAAAATGTTTTTAAATTCAAAATATTCAATAAGTGTCTATATTCTAATTTTTAATTTTCAACCAATTCCACTTAAAAATCAATAAAATGTGAAGAAATTCCACGAACTTTTGGATCAACCCTCGTAATTTGCATTTAAGAAAAATTTAATCTTCCCTATGCTGCCATACCGTGTCATCAGTGTTTCACCAACACATCTCGCTCCTTTTAACTTTTCATTGAGAAGAGATAGGGATTTCATATTTTAAACATGCATTACCTGTGACAAGACATTTCCGAGCATGATATGATTTCTGAATCCTAGACCTTGACCTTTCACGATTGAATGCATTTTTAAAAATTCAACTTCGGTGATTATTTCTAAATGAAATATGATAGGGCTTTCATATTTGACTTAATATATCATTAAAAATGACATCTCACCCACAAAGACATCGAAAGCGGGGGACCACATTTCTTTGAATTTAGCTGTTATAGTTCTTAAACGAAGTTCCTCAACAATGCAATACTCCTCTACTGTAAACGATACGAACTATAACAACCATTTTTTAGGGATGTGCGATTTTATCGGTATACCGGTAAATCGCGATTTTTTGTTGCGCGATACGTATCGTGATACGGAGACCTAATTATCGGTATTAAGTTACATATTATAAAGTCCAGAAATTATTCATTTATTTGTTCAATCTTTCAAATTACAATTATAGAAAGTCTAAAAAATGTTGTAAAAGGTGAAAAGAACAGCATCTTACCATCAAAACATGATTACTTCTATGAACATAAAAAAATTCAAAAAAGTGAAATTATGTTTTTCTAGCATATTTTAAAGAAAAATAATGAAACTTCATTAAAAATCATTGTAAAAATTGGTTGTAAAAATATCATGATATTATCGTGATATTTAGAGAAAAAATCGTGATATATCGCGATACGAAATTTTTGACGATACCCATCCCTACCATTTTTCCTTCACCCTTGTTTGAATTTTTTTTCAGATTCATTGTAAATCTACAGCTGGTATTATAATCCATTCTTGAAAGGAGAAAAGCTTAGGGAAATCATCCTTTGATTTGAACATAGCCTCCTAGTGTCTGTAATAAATATAATTTAGAGATTTTCTTAAGCAATAAAAATATTGTTTAAAAAATAATTAAATAAAAATAAAAGTAATGGACATTGCGATTACACGCTTAGTGTAAAGCTCTGAACAGAAACCGAACTAGTAGGTGTTTCAAAACGAGAACCCCACAATGGAATTATGAATTCCTTGTTGTTCTAGATCATATAGATCAATTAAAAGAATTTTTCCGGGAGGGGTCAAAAATTTAATTGGAAATTTGATATTCATACAATCCATGCGTGGATCTAGAGGGAGTCGGGGGGGGGGGGTGTCTGCGCACAGATTGTGCAGAATTATTTTTTTTTTACTTAACCAAATAAAAATTCCCCTTTATTAGAATAGGCGTAGCTCTCTTCGAAAGCACGGATCTATGTGATATTGGTATGAAAAGTCACTGGCCGATATGAAGTAAAAAAGAAAAGCCGACGACTAACCCCACCCCCTCCACACACACTCACCCTAACACATACGATTTAGTTTTTTCTTTCCGAAATGAGTTTAATTTTTTTATTTTATTTATTCCTTTATCCGTTTAATTTTATTTTTGCTTGTCAAGAAATTACTGGTTGGAATTTTTTTTTTACGAGATGGTGTTATGTGATGGCGTGTGTTGAATTCTAACCTTCTCGCTGTTTCTTTACACTTGCCATTGTTATTGTTTTCTAATGTAATGTTTATCATAGGAATTTTTTTTACCTATAAATTCCCAAAATAAAATAATTTCGCTTACATTTTTTCACGGCAATTTGGGTAATTATATTATACCAAACCAATAACTGATGTATTTTAGTTTCAAAAATAAAACGAGTTATAGATTAATTGGTAATACAACTGTAATGACATATGATGTATACTATGAATGACAGTCACACGGATTAAATGTTTTGACATGTATGTATCTTAAATCTGCAGATTAAGCTAAAACTTTTTTTTAAAAAAGTTTTTAACATCCCTTAAAATAAAGATATAGTTAAACCAATAGAGATTTTTTTTTCATATTCCGATATTCTGTTGCTTTGAAAATTCGATTTTTCATTGAAATTTCATTTTTTTATCCAAAAAGTCGATTAAATATAAGATCTCTCTCTCTCTCTCTCATCAAATAACTACATGAATGTAAGAATGATCTATCATTTGTTTAAAACAATTTTATTTCCAAACGTAGTTTTTGCTTTTTAATATTAATTGAAAGAAACAACAACAAAAGTAAGGTTGAACAACATTTTTCAACTTTTCTCATCTAATTTATGAGCATCGTTATTGAAAAAAATAATTAAAATCAAATTCAAATTAATTCATGTCAAAATAAGTAGATAGGCATGAATGTAACATATTTTGTAAATTGAAAGTTTGATTCAATTTTGCATCTATTTCTGTTCTATATTGTTTTAAAATATGTAGTTTCCGTAGTGTTAAACACTTTTTTTAAAAATACATGGTAAAACGTTTGAACTGCTAATAAATAACATGTTTGAAAAAATATTTTTTTATACTACGGGAGCAAATTTCAATGAAGATTGTGAGTTGAAAACTAAAAAAATTAAATTCAAATGAATGACCCTCGCTGGTACCCCTTTAGTATTTCGATCGATTGTCAGAGTTACCGCTCCTGTTTTTATTTACAAAATTTCGCCTCTGTAATTCCATTATTTTGCAAGATTTGGGAAACTTATAAGGATACTTTTCGTTTCTGTAGGAGGAAAAGTTTAGGTTTCAAATTCTTTTAGCATTAAAGTATTTTACAACAAAAATATGGGAAAACATGCACCGATGATTCAATGTTTACATGATTGATGTAAATACTGAGAATGCTGGGGCGGATCTCATATACGGAAACGATTTCCTTTCCAATATTTTGATAAAATACCCGTGCCTTACACATTACTTCATTTTTTTCTATACCAGTAAATCAAATATTTGCATTTTTTCACCCATATAAAATTATTTAGAAAATAGGAAATCAATAGATCAGAGACATTTATATACGTAGCGATATAGCAAGATCGATGTTTCGAAACGGGTCTCAAATTCTAAATAGGCCTTCATTTAAATTAATACCAATGGCCCGGACAAGAGTATGCAACATAAAAATTCAGAATTAAACATTAAAAAAAATAATTTTTTTTTATTATACATGTTATATACAATAGTCAAAAACCACAAAAAAGATAGACGTGTCAAAGCGTAAACACGTGTATTAAAAAAAAAAAAACTGCGACGACGCTCACCGTCTGCAACGTCATATCTTTATGACGTTATTTCTCTGTTCTAGAAAAATTGCCATAAGGACCTTTTGTCGTGGTGGCAATCATATACGTTTTACATAAAACGTGTTCTTTTTTCCATTGCTCTGATGAGTATCATACACCTTAAAATGAATGCATAATGTTTTGTGCAACATCTTCATAATTTAATCTTCATATTTACATCTTCATACTTTACTCTAGTGAAATAATTTAACACCCCCTCCCCCCAACGTAAACGTCTATATAACTTATCATTCTTATAGGTTCTATAGATATTGATGGCAAGGTTTTTGAAAAGCTGTTACTTGTATATTTTAAAGTTTAAAATATTTAATCTACTTTCGGTTTCGTTCTTAGTCTCGAGGCTTAATAAATTCTCATGAACCGTGGACATGCATAATATTACTTTTATTGAAATGCCTGCTAACCTCATGGGATAAATAACTTACATACCTGCAGTTGATAATCCTACAACAGTACATATTTCTCCAAAAATTCCGGGTTGTCCCTCAATGGCGGCACACATGAAATCTGGCGTCGCTTGAAATTGCCGACAGTTCTTCCTCTGCTCGCGATTTATCCATTGTTCGGAGCTTTCTGGACACGATTCGACTGTCTCAAATTGATTACTGGAACTTGAACAACACAATAATTGCGAAAAAAGAAGACACAGAAAACGGAAGACGTGCATGATTACTTGTCTTTTTAAAGGTTATTTATATTAAAATGAAGTCACATGCATACCTGGGTGCGTAAATTGTGTAAAATAATACTTAAATAAAGAACGATTACCTGAGTTACCTTTCTTCTGCCGTTCTTCAAAAGAATCTATAATAGTATTATTTTAAATTAAACGCTGAGTCGGTAGTATTTCAGCAAGTTTTCGTCGAAGCTTTTATTTTTTTCTTTTGTTTATATTTCTGTGAAAATGTTCACGTTACAAACGTGCCCCCTCCCTTTGCCTCACAAGACTTTACTTAAAACAAAACGCTATAATCACCTCAATACTGGGATCTTCCAAGTTTGACTAACAAGGGCATGGTGTTTATGACAAAAGATCTTATCAAAAAGTTTTTTTTTTATTCTGTATACACTAGTCCAAAATATTTGACGTTTTTCTCGCGATTTTGATATAATACGTTCTAGGAAAACGTCAGAACCGCCGCTACTACCAAAACTGGGAATTCGCCGCCAACTAACGAAAGCGGCTTTCTTGGGTTGATTTTCGATGGTTGCAAATAGAGCCCCGCTCTAACGCCAGAACCCCTGACCCCGGGGCATAAAATTCACAATTTTCGAAGAGGCAGCCTTATTCATATGTATTTGGTTAGTTTACTTAATGTCCAAGAGCAGAGAAAAAAAAATTTCAAAAAATTTCTGCATTTTCTCTATGTAATCAATAGAGCCCCGCCCTAGCACTTTTTGTCCCTCGCTTGAAAAGTGGGGGATATTAATTTGGGTATGTCCGTCATTCTGTCTGTCTGTAACGCTTTCGTTTCCACACGATATCTCGAGAACCCTTTGAGCTTTTGCAATGAAATTTGGCATAGCAACTCCCTATGGACTAAAGAAGAACCCTATTGAATTCGAGGTCAAAAGGTCAAAGTTCAAGGTCGTAAATTTATTCATTCTGTCTGTGTATAGCACTATCCCTTCTGAGCGATATTTCAAGAGGATTTTGAGCTTTTGCAATGTTATTTTATGCCAAAACTCCCTAGAACCTCTCTCACCCCTCTCAAAGTGTCCCGCCCCGATTGTTTTATTAGTATTTATTGTATTACATGTCGTTATTTTTAGCACAGGGGCATGAGGAGAGTTATAAAACAGGTTCTCGGCGGACTTTATATTCTTATTACATCTATTAGAACTGTTTAATAAAGGTTAAATTAGACACCATGCATTGTGTAAAATTTTGACAATATCGAACGTGAATATATACATGTACGTAACTTCATTTTTAGCATTAAATTTTCCTGTGCGTCAAGGAGTTCTGTGGTATAGTGGTATGTCTCTCGCTTCACATGTGAGAGGTGCCGGGTTCGAATCCCAGATGAACCATTTTCTTTCTTTTTCTTGAGATACCTTTTTTTAATAAATGATAGCATGTGAAATGAAAAATAAAATCATCATTACAGTGTGATAAATATTCCATACAAAAAGGATCTTCTATACACGTAATAAGGAATAAGAAATCAAATCTTTATATCCATATTGGCATATTTTATTTGTTTTACATGTAGTATACATGTATACATTTAATACTTCTACAATAATGGCATAATAATTCAGTCAGAGGGATCCGACTCGATCCCCCCTTCCCCCGAACTGCGCATGGATTACTTTTTTCCCTAAGCGGGGGACACAAATTCTCTGAATTAGCTGGTTGTATAGGACCTACTGTTCATTACATTCATGCCAACAGTTTGACTGCTTCATGTCCAGGAGTATAAGTAGTTCTGCTTTGTGACAAAATTGGTGGAAATTGATCGAGTGGTTGCAGAGAATCGAAGAAGCTGAAAATATTCAAATGTTAACACACGACGCACACCGCACGACAACAGAGAACGGATAGCAATAGGTCACCTGAGTGTGTTTATTTAGGTGACCAAACAAAATTCTCCGATCCTCTAAATAATTTTTATAAGGTACACCACTCGTTTTACTGACATCATCATGGGTCATTTGCAAAAATGTTTTCTTAAAAATATTGTGATTGTACACAAGCGTATTCTGAATTTGATATTAAAACGATTTTCGAGCTTCTTTATTTACAATATCTAGGTGTTATAGAGACCAACAACCTTGTGCCATTTCTGACTAAAAGTTGGACATCGCGTCCTCCTCAGCCTTGTGAATTACAGATCTTGGAACTCTCTTACACTGTTATAAATTATTAAATGCTCTTTGTGGAGAAAGGAATATGAGATTAATTTTCTGATGCAGCTTTTTTAATATGTAATTTATTATCATTGACCTGTTGTCAACAGCTTTCCTATCAGTTGTCGTCTTGTGAGCAGATTTATATATCCTGCTAACTTTGACCTCTACTCTCTGTTTAGGACTTTTTGATGGGGTCCAAAGTTCTTTTCTTTGTTTTTCCCATTCCTTCAATAAAACTATCAAGTATTAATATACTGTGTTTCAAATCTGCACAAACAGCGAATTCTCTTGTAGGTTGGGTTGGCTGAGGTTGGTAATACTTACTTCATTTTTAAGAACACCCTCCCGCAAGTAAAATAATAAAACTGAAAGTAGTCCAGCAAACAGACCCCAACCGCCTAGAATAGTTGTCGGTAAAGACAATATTTTTCTTGCCTTGCGGGCAGGACCAACGGATTTCGATAAGACTGTAATGAACAGTTCCACATTTCTTTAAATCACCCGTTCAATGCTTTAAATATCAAAGTACTTGACGGATGTGAAGTCGGAATTGAATAAAGAATAAATTCAGTAAATAAAAGTGTCTGCTTAATATGAGCTCCTTCTAGAATGAAATGGTGCCTGCTTTTGAACACTGATCTGAATACCAATTGCTCAGCATTTGTTAGCTCACGTCGCCCGGGTGGCGCAGTGGTTAGAGCGTCTGCTCCAGAGTCAGGAAGTAAGTTGATCCTTAACGTCGCGGGTTCGAATTCCACTGTGGGACGTGGATACCAGTTTTTCGGATGACACCGTATAAACCGAGGTCCAGTGTCGCAGTAGGTGTTGGCACGCAAAATATTCCTCACTGGTCCATAGCCCTGAGTGTCGAGTATGGGACAAAATTTACAGTTCCCCACCGGCAAGTGATGGCGTCTCCATATGAGTGAAAAATTCTCGAGAAGGGCGTTAAACAATATGCAATCAACCTTTTTAGCTCACCTGAACTGAAAGCTCAAGTGAGCTTCTCTGATTACCCGTCGTCCGTCTGTCTTTAATCTTCTCACATTTTTAACTTCTCAAGAACCACTGATGAAATTTTAACCAAATTTGGTACACAGCAACCTTAATTGATGGGAAGTTAAAATGAAGAGCCAAGTCCCCTTAAAAGTGGAGATAATCAAGAAAAGACAAAAATAGGGTGGGGTCATTAAAAATCTTCTTCTCCAGATCCACTGGGCCGAAAAAGCTGAATATTATGTTGAAGCATCCTTGGGTAGTGTAAAATCTAAATGTGGAAGCATCCTTGGGCAGTGTAGAATGTAAACTGTTAAAATCATGACCCCGGGGATAAGACGGGGTCACAATATGGAATACAAATTATGCATAGAAATATGTAGGAAAATGTTAAGAAAGCTTACAAGTCCCATGTATTTGTACTTCCACAGACATGACATATTCAATGTTGTCAACATACCCCTTGGCAAGCGTAGGCGGGAGAATGGTTACAACTGATTGAGTAATAATGAAACTGTGATTACTGCTAAGATTTCCGTTGATGTAGTAGTGGTTTCTTTTCATATTTGTGAGAAGTAGATTTAAGTTATAATAAAATTTCGTTGAAATTAGAATCCATTCATTTTTTTTTAATTTAAAGGACCATCCAACAACAAAATGATTCATCGCTAGGAAGAGCATTTAATATCGAATACTAGTGCCACGGACCTTTATGAAAATAATCGGTGGTTTTACACAAATATTAATCAACGATCGTTCTTGGGGTACATGAAATAAGTAAAAAGAGTTTGAAAACATTTTTCCAGATTTACATAATTATGTAGCTATACATAAGAAATATTCCTTTTAATTTGATTTTTCAAGGCGTATTTCATTAAATATTTACCCTTTTTATGTTAAATTCAGATTCTCATCATTACTGCTACATGTACCAGGTAGAATTGTTGGAACTATGAAAACCAGTTCTCGTTCGCTAAAAAGATGACACTGTGTGGTACTGTGTTTGACTTTCGAAAATTGAACAGTCTCTCCAAAAGCATGCATTTCCCTTCCCAATATTGAAAACAGAAGTCTCTGTCGCGACTGAAGCTCTACTGGATTGTACTTATAGCAAAGGGAGAGAAAAGTACTTAAGCAGTTGGGAATTGAAACTTTACAACAGCAATAAATAGAATAAAACTTTACAACAGCAATAAATAGAATAATGATCCTTGATTAAGTCTCTTTATGTTCTTAGTGTAGTCTATTGCATGCCACATTATATCATAATCAGACTAAAACTGTATTTGGAGTAGCATTTTGAGAGTATTTAACAGAAATTTCTTTTTTAGTAACCATGGCAACACCGTTCATTGAAGTGAAAAACCGATACACAGAATTATGTATCTAAGTGTAGTCTACTTGTGTGCCAAGTTACATTGAAATCAGACCAAAACTGTAGCAGGAGTATCATTTAGAAAGAATTTTACAGAAGTTTCTATTTTTAGGTATCTCAGTGTAGTCTGCTTGTGTGCCAAGTTATATTGAAATCGGACCAAAACTGTAGCAGGAGTAGCATTTTGAAAGAATTTCACAGAAATTTCTATTTCTAGTAACCACATCAACACCGTTCATTGAAATCAAAAACCGATAAACAGAATAATGTATCTTAGTGTAGTCTACTTGTGTGCCAAGTTATATTGAAATCAGACCAAAACTGTAGAAGTATCATTTTGAAAGAATTTCACAGAAATTTCTATTTTTAGTAACCACGGCAACACCTTTCATCGAAATCAAAAACCGATAAACAGAATTATGTATCTCAGTGTAGTCTACTTGTGTGCCAAGTTATATTGAAATCGGACCAAAACTGTAGCAGGAGTAGCATTTTGAAAGAATTTCACAGAAATTTCTATTTTTAGTAACCACGGCAACACCGTTCATCGAAA